GCTGCTGTCCCCAGGGGTCGCTGTGAGGCGTGTAGAAAGTGTTGTCATTTGTACCTGCTGCTGCCTGAAATTTGTAGCCCAGCATGGAGAATCCTCCACATCACCAAGGCCATCCATGGGGGTGAGCATACTCAAGGCCATCACATTCGCTATGTGAAATTCCCACTACCCAGAAACATTTCCTTTAGCCTCCCATATGGGTGTCTGATGCAGCTGCCAGTCTGCTGCCAGTAAACGAGATTATTTTATTCCCCCTGTAAATTGTCCAAAGTGGTTTTTTTCTTTTCTTTCTCAGATCTGGGTGCCATTAGTGGATTCTTGTGTTACAATGAAGGAAAACCACAGTAGGCTTTTCAACAGTTCATTTATTTCACTTTATCCCGTGCTTCCTCCAAAGAGCTCAAGTTGGCTTACCTGTCGTTCCCCAAGCATGCAGCACTGAAGACATGCTCCCCATAGCTGCTTAAGCAGTGGTACTGCATGGGGTGCCTTCAGACCATAATGCTTGCTTCTCAGTTTCAGCCCTGAGAGCATAAAGTTATGATCTTCTGATAACTGTGCAAACTGTTTTGGTGCCTGAGGAGGGGCTGCGTTTATTAGTCTGTGATACAAAGCTCCTTATTGAAGATTTAAGGCAAACAAACGACAGATGAGGCTTTTGCTCTCTTGAGATATGAGAGCAATCCAGCTTCTTCCACATGCTTAAAATTATGCAGACACTGTTTTTCGCCAGAAAGTGGTCCCTATTCATTCATCATGTGACAGACAACCTCTTTTCAGCCTGAAGCCGATAGAGAAGGTGAGGGGGAGACTGGATTGGTGCAGCTCCATCAGATGGTAGCCCGGAGACCAATGCGAGACTTCATCGGGTTGGAAGAGTGCGACAAGACCACACGGGATGCCATGCTTAACTTCAGCTTCTATCTTACTATTGGGGACATGGATGAGGCCTTCAAGTCAATCAAGCTCATCAAAAGGTAGGAGCAGAACTTGTCTGGTTCCTTCATTTTTAGTTCATCTCTTCTTCATCATGTCCTAAGGGCTGCTGTGAAAATGTGTTGGTTGCAAGGTAATACCTGATTGCAGTGGGGTATGTTAGCTTATTTTAGCAAAACGAAACAGAAGTCCAGTGGTGCCTTGAAGACTGACATTTTAGTCCAGGATGAGCTTTCAAGAGACAGAGCTCGCCTCTTCAGCCACAGTAGAAGAAATGAACTCCTTTACCTCAGTTTTAGGGGCTTCAGTGGCTCAAGTGGTTAAGACGCTGAACTGCAGGCTGTGGAAGGTCGGTAGTTCAGCAGTTCAAGACCCGAGTGTGCCGCATGACAGAGTGAGCTCCCATCTCTAGTTCCAGCTCCTGCCAACCTAGCAGTTCGAAAGCAAGAAATTGCAAGTAGATAAATAGGGACCACTTCAGTGGGAAGGTAACAGCGTTCCGTGCACCTTGGTGTTTAGTCATGCCGGCCACATGACCACGGAAACGTCTTTGGACAGCGCTGGCTCTTCGGCTTTGAAATGGAGATGAGCATCGCAACCCTAGAATCGGACTCGACTGGCTTTTGAGCAAGGGAACCTTTACCTGTACCTCAGTTTTACAGAAAAATATGGGAAGGGAGCCTGACAATTCAAACTGTACTCTTATCAGCACAAATCGGGGTCTCCAAGAGCCATTTTATACCCCAGAGTCCCTAGCACCTCCAGCAGGACAGCCCAGGTTGCAACTCCACCAGACACGCTCTGCAGACTCTCCTCTTTCCAACCACTCAGTAAGCAGCTGCTGTTGTATAACAGTCTTGTATTAGAACAGCATGGGAAAAGGCTGCTGCTAGATATGTCATATACAGTGTTCCCTCTACGCTGAGTTAGTGTGAGCTAGCTCACAGTTTTTTAGCCTCTGGCTCACACATTCTTGTCTTAGCTCAGGAAGGATGGCTCCAGAGCAAACTAATTTATGCAGTAGCCAAATCACTTGCTCACCACTTTAATGCCAGTAGCTCACAAAGTAGAATTTTTGCTCACAAGACTCCACAGCTTAGAGGGAACATTGGTCATATACATCATGGGTTGGTACATTGCATAGCAGAAACTTGAGTTTTGGGACTGTGTTAGGATGTTGATTTGTGTGTGTGAGATTTATAGATATTGTAGAGAAATGCCCTTCACCAAAGGACATGCCACAGTATTTCAGACTTTGTGACTACACTCTGTATGTGCTCAGGAACCCAGCTGCAGACTAAGCTAGGGGGAAAGAGAGGGTTGGGGGAAGAGAGCCCCCGGGCATAGAGCACTCACACTCCTGGTTGTGCTAATGACAGGCTGAAGCACACTCTGCTGGAAGGTGACACCCAGAGGGTAGATTTGGGAAACAGCTAAATTGTGACAATGAAGCAGGAAGATCAAACGGACTCCAAGGTGGGATGGACTCCCCAAGGTCGATTGTAAATTCTCAGGGCACAGAGAAGAATCTCTCTTGAATTTTGTTGTTCTCCTTGGATGGTCACAAGCCATTAAGGGCTAAGCTTTTACCTACGGACTCCATATTGTCCATGTGGCAAGGGACAGTGAGGAGAAGTCCCAACCCTATGAACTAAGGTACTGATGAACTTTAAACGACTGCAACTTCGAGTAATACTAGCCTGTCCTATTTAAACATTATTTAGAATAAG